TTTCCTGGCCATCGCAAGCAGAGAATCCAAGGCTGCGCGATGACTCCAACTTTGACTTTCCTTGGAGATTACGGACAAAGGCAAAGAACTTGGCAGACGCAAAAGCTTGGAAGGCAGCAAAAACGGCTGACGAAAGGACACAGTTGGAGAAGTCAAATGGAACACGCTGGTCCAAGTTGCATCATCTTCCATACTTTGATCCTATTTCGCAGACAATAGTCGACTGTATGTACAACATGTTCTGCGGGACAGCCAAGTGCATGGCCACCATATGGAAAGATGACGGAACCTTGACCAAGGAGCATTTGACCGATATGGAGAGTTGCCTCGAAAAGATGGTGGTGCCCCCATCATACAGCATCGCTCGCGGCTGTATTGCGACTGGATTTGCTGGAATGACGTCGGATGAATGGAGGTCGTGGACTGTTGCACTCTCGCCGTCGTTGTTGAAGGGAAGATTGCTTGGAGAAAAGATGGCACACTGGTTGCTCTTTGTCGCAGCAGCACGTCTCCTGTGTAAGCCATCCATCACCATCGCCGAAAACGAGGAAGCCCACCAACTGCTGCTCAAATTTGGCCGCGACTTTTCAAGATTGTACTCTAGAGATCAAGTCACGCCAAATATGCATTTGCATGTTCACCTTCGCGACATGGTACTCAATTTTGGCAGCTGCTATAACATGTGGGTATTCAGCTTTGAGCGGTTCAACAAGATCATCAAGAACCAGTACACCAACCAAAAAGACCGTTTCGAGCTTACGTACATAAAGAAGTTCTTAAGTGTCGTGTTCGCTGATGATATGGTCCGACGAGTCGTGGTCGAGTGGTGCAGCAACAGCACGATTGCCAGACAGATTGCTGAGCTGTTGCTGCCACAATCAGAAGCCATGCAAGAGCATTACGATTGTCAGCCGTTCTTAGATCAATCGGATTTCGACTATGCCGCGGGAGTAAGCGTAGTTGGTTGGGAGCCGCTGCCACCATCATATCTTCCCCTCAAGACAGGCAAAAAAATGTACATGGATACGCGCCACTACCACTGTCTTGTCGAGTATTACCAATCGATGTTTCCAGACATAAATTTTGCGTCACTCGCTAGCACTAGTGGTAATCAGGTCAGCGATCACCTCTACAAATATGCAAAAGTCGATCTCCTAGGCCAAATGTTCATTTCCGAAATGTCTCGCCACATCAACACCAGCACCTATGTCCGAGTCGTTTGCCCAAGTACTCAGTTTCATACTGAAGCGATCGTTCGTCCTGGGCGCATTTTATATTTCTTTGTCCACAACCTGCACAATCCCACCGACGGTAATTTCTGCTAGTTCGTTTTTGCTTTTGTTGAGTACCTACGACCAAATACGCAAATCTTTGAGTCGTTTAGGATGCTAGGCATGGATGTCTACCATTTAGAAATCGAACCGTATACGTGGTAGTGTGTCGTTCCTTTGGGGAGGCTCCATTCCGGCGTTGTTGTTACCCCTATTCAAATAGACAATAGCTGTGCTCTTACATATTTACCACGAAAAATAAAAGTAATCTACTCTTAAAAGCATAATACCCCAGGTCAGGTCTTGGTCTTTTTCTTTTTTGGCTTCACGCTGCTGTAGTTGTAGTAGAGAATAAAATAAAGAACAAGTTTTGAATTATAGAAATCGCTTCAGATTTGAAAAGCATTTTGAAGGAATCTAATGCGATGGCGAATCAAGAAACTTGTAGATGGTCAAATAAATAAAAATGTTGAAGAATTTTGATTTAGAAATTGGCAAAAAAAAACAAAAAAAAAAAAGGAGAAGAAAGCAAAGTAGTGGAGACAAGCATAGTGGCGGTAAAAATCTCAGAGTGGGAAGAAGCACAGCAGTCCAGGTGGTGTAAAAAAGGGGTCATCCTAGATGGTTTTAGGGGAGAAGGATTTTAGTGGGGGAGCCAATTTTTATCCATTTGCTGCATCACGGCTCTGAAAGCGCACTAAAAGCGCTCTGAAAGAAGATTCTCACTGAAAGCACACTGAAAGCGCACTGAAAGAAAAATTTCAGAGTACACTGAAAGCACTCTGAAATCGGGTTTTAACTCCAGTGGGCTACCAAAAGATGGGGTTTGGCAAGTACACACAACGTGTCAAAGGCAACCACCGGGCATGTGGCGCAATGGATAACGCACCTGACTACGAATCAGGAGATCGTAGGTTCGACCCCTACCTTGCTCACATTCCTTGATCACTACTAAGTGAGTAACTACTTTTATAGTTACTGGGTTGTTTTTTTGGCAGGTGGGTGTCGTAGCAAGATTTGACACTGACACACTGTTTCCTTTTTGGATTTTTCCCGCTCCTTTTTTGACGTATTTCATAGCTATTTCTTCTACCTATTTCTGTTCCTTCATTTTGTAACTCAATCATCCCTTCGCCGTTATTCTATAGCTACTTCTTCCTAATTCTTCCATTCACTCGCTAGAGCTCAATCTACTGTCCAACACTACACACCTGGGCAAGAACTTTTCAGAATTGGAAATACTTTTTATGGTTAGACTCATGCAGGTTCACTAAAATTGCCTTTTATGGATGAGCAAGTACCAGCACTCACCAGCCTGAAAATGAGATGGTGGGGGGTGGGGGGTTGCATGCTAATGTATCAGTGATGGATATCAGGAGTATTCGTATTGAAAATTTTTTTATTTAATTGAATTTACAAAAAACAATAATTCTATCACAAATCATCCTGAAGCACAAAAAAGCACAGCGAGATTTGTTTTGCTTGTTCCAATCCTAGGACACAATCCTGGGGATATCCTAGGGCATCAGTGGGTTTCTGTAACCTATCGTTTTTATAACATGTTTGAGTCAGTATTCAAAATCAAAAGACATACACAGAAAAATGACATGCTTACCGTTCAAGAGTTTCTCGTCATTTGTTAAGATAGCCCTACAAATAGACAGCAGCACACTTGGAGAGGAAAAAAGATTGCATAGCAGCAACACAAAAGGAGTCTTTAACTTACCAGCAGTGTATACTCTTCTTTAAGCATTTAAAGCATAAGCTAATAGTATTAATGTTGATATCACTATGATTTTATACTTACCTTTAATTTTGATGGACTTACCTGACTCATTTCGTCTCCAATAATGTAATACTTTTAGTACATTGTTAATCAACCATCTAACGCTGACACATTACCTTTATATTCAGCAGTTGTTAAACATCCTATATTAATAATCTAAAGAGATTAGTAATAGTATGCATGCCAAGAAGTGTCGAAGACTCTGAGATGAAGAATAATAAGTTATGCTCAATGCCTCAGATGAATAATGCATGCCAAGACTAAGAAGAAAAAAGCCAAGAAGAAAAGCTTGCTGAGTCAGATTACACGTGCGTGTTGCTGCTTAATAATAAATCGGAGTTGTTCCTCTTCGTCTTGGCGAATCAGAACAATATATAAAGAGCAGCTTATGCAAATATGCTCTTCCTCAATTCTTACTTCTCTTAAGCAAAATGTCACATCAAACACAAAACATGTTCATGGGTAGATTTTCTTCAAGCCCGCATTCTACTCGCAACTATTGCAATGTTTGCAATTCAAGATACTCGCAAAAAATTAGGCATATGAGTACTCAGAAGCATCACGATAATCTTCGAAATTATGTTGAATGGAATGGAAGTTCAACTCTCAGTAATCAAAGTACTGATTATGGTATTGTGCCTAATACTAGTGCTACCCAAAGTGGTGCTTTTATAAGCGCTGAGGGCGATATAGATGATTTCGATGCTGGAGATGATAATCCTCCTGTTGTCAATGCAGCGCCTATAGAAGTGGACGACCACGGTGTTGGTAATGAAGGTGGTGATACCTTGATGCGTCCTGGTATAGAGAGCGATGTTGTAGGTAGCCAACACATGGAAGGATTTGAGGCTGAAGATGAAGAGGAAGAGGAAGCAGCCGATAGGGGTGATGATGAAAGTGGAAGTGAAACCGCAGAAGGACTTCACAGATTCACGAATGTCCTTACGAGTCTCACCACAGAGTACAGTGGAACATTCACTGGATCTTCAACTGTTCCTTTGACTGATGAAGACAGAGTCGATGAATATGGGGGTGTAAGCATGGAGACTACATGGAGAATTGAGGATGAAGTGCCAGACTCTAGCAATCCTTACTTTCCTTTCAATAACAAGCTTGAGTTTCTGCTGAGAGCCTTTTTTGACAGCAGTGATAACTTGCAATCACGCCAGGATAGACAAAAGGTTCTTGATCTTGTGGCAGCTGCTGTTGAAATTGGTTGCGATGACTATGAGAGAAAGGAAGTTAGGGTGCCTTCACTGCATTAGACAATGCGTTACGAGGAAAACAAGTGTAACGAAATTCCCACTTTCAAACCAGAATTGGTTGAAAGAGTCGTGAAGCGCGCAGGTATGGAAGAGAAGCATAAACTGTATCTTCAAAAGCCGTCCACTACTTTGAAGATCATCAATGCTAATCCTTCTATTTCGCAAAAGTTGAGTGCACTGCCTGACTATACTGAAGGCATTAGAGACTCGCCAATGCAGGGTGATAAATGGAAAACCAATCCATATTTTCAACACCCTAATGTTACAATGAATGTAGATGGTCAAGAGTTTATGTATCGGGTAGGTGATGTTGTATATGATAACACAATACCCCAGGCCACAAGATATTCATGGACAACAGGGTACAAGCTCTCAAGATTTTATACAAAAAATGGTGAAATCATGGCAGATGCTTGTATTCTTTTATTGGAAGGAACGACGAATGGATCATTGTGTGTCTGTTATCGTATAGCTGGTTCAGATGATATCATATCAGATGCAATTAAGTTGCGTGATTATCGCCTAGCTGATCACAATGATTACTTATAGAGCATCCCTCTATATTCTTTTTATTTGGACGAAAATGGACATAGTTCTTTACCTGAAGAAGTGAATGTTAGAAGCCATCCAGCATTCAATCTTCGGTTCAGTTATAATACTACACTTCCTGTTAAAATTATTCCTTTGAATATGTTTCAGGACGATACGAGTGGGAATCGTTCAAAAAAATGGAACAGGTTTGAATCGTGTTCTATGGTTCCAGCCGCGCTTCCTTTGGATGAGTGCAACAAACGAGCAAACACGCACCTGATATGCGTACATAATCGATTGTCGAGTGGTGAAATTGTGCGCTCAATTGTGGATGACCTGAAGGAGTTAGAGGAAGGTGTAGAGATGTACGATGCAGGTACAAGTAGCAAAGTCTTGGTCGTTGCACCACTCAACCTGATCACGGCAGATAACCCTGCTCATGGAGAGCTATCCTGCACGAAAAGGTTCCAGTCGGCCTCGTATCCTTGCCGTAAATGTTTCTTCAGAAAACGTAAAAACGACGAGCGGACAACTGCTAACAACCATATTAGCGTTAAGGAACGCTCCAAATAAGAGCTGCTGAGCATCCTCTATCATAGAGATAAAACTAAAATGAAGTTAGACATAGGAGGGCGGGAAGAAACTACTGATCACTTTGGTGTCAGCTTTTCTAGTGGTGAAGCTTTGCTGGAACTGAAAGCTTTCGACATAACAAAAGACTGTCCTAATGAGCTTTTGCATAATATGATGCTTGGTATAACAAAGTATCTAATGACGGACACTTACTCATATTTGAAACAGGTCGAGCTATAAGATCTCGGCACCCAATTGAAAAACTATGAATCCAAAGCCTTTGGTAGGATGGTTGGTACCAATCTGCAAAACAACGGTTCTTTTGTTGGACGTGATTACAAAATTGTTGATCAGCAGCTGCCCACTATCTTCAACCGCATGTTTAAAAATGAATGGAGTACTATGGATCCAGCACGACTTGAAGTTCTTAAGGCACTTCATAAATGTCTCGTCATACAAGGGGTATTACTCTCACTGTTCTATATACGTAGCATCAGAGGAAGCTTTGAGCATTACAAAAAGCTTGTCTATTATAAAATAGTATCGTTTCATAAGGCTCTGGATGAGATGGAGGAGGCATTTGCAAAAGTACGTAAATCGGGATCACATTCTACAAGTAAACCGAAGTTTCATCTACTTTATCATCTGCTTGACGATTTGGACAGATTTGCGTCTGCTGTCCATTTCGAATCTGAGCGCGGTGAGCAATTTAATAAGTTTATCAGAGAGAGGCTTATTAATACAAACCGCCAAAATCCATCCCGCGATGTGCTTGTTTCCTTCAGTCGATATAATGCATTCCGGCATATTATTGACGGTGGTAAGTGGTTCCCATCTGATGCTGATGAATCGGATCCAAATCAAATGGTATCAGCTGGAAGAGGTATCATTAATTTAGTCAAAGAGCGACCTAAGTTTGAGCATTTATATCTAGGTGGTGACCGTGAGTTTTCGAACAATAACGAGTCGTCGCATAATATAACTGAAGGTTTGGTAGGCCATTTCCAACTTTACCATCCGCCAAGTAGTTCATATCTCAATTACCTTAGTCGTGTTAAGAAAGTAGGAAACGCGCTCAAATTGGTCATATACAAACCTATTGCTGAATCACAGCTTGAGACAGAAGAAGAGCCTTATGAAGGATATAAAGATCACTTCAAGAACTCACTTTACGAAAACGTTAAAAAGGATGACATAGGTAATCCAATATTGTATAGACCTCACGATTATCACGAAATGTCCATGAGTGAAAATATGAGGCTCGTTGAACCAATAGATTTCCAACGACTCCCATCTTCTGATGAAGATATGATGTACATCAACATCAGTAAGTTTGGAACACTTTGGTATTTGTTACAGTAAGACAAAGTAATGTTTTTGTAAACGGTTGGTTATCTGTTGGAAGGTTTTTTAGTGAATTGACACACTATTTAACTTAAGTTAAATGTCTTATCCGCTATGCTGTCTTAGATGGGATTCTGTCCTCCTTTGAAAAAAAAAACAAAAAAAAAACTGGCAGCTTGACAGGTTTACCGGAGGGTGATGACTTAGCGAAATTTCGAGTGATTTGAAGCAATTGTGCGACAGATGTGTGGTTTGAGGAGTGGGGGTGAATCAGATGACCCGAAATCCCCTCCTAATCCCCTTAAATCGCACCCCCAACCTCAAATTTTGGAGTCTCCCCCACTTCATTTTTCAGGATGCACTGTATTAACCAATCAGCATTCGTTATTTGCCATCGGAGACAAAATTATTTCCTAATTTATAAAATCCTTTGCTGGGTGTGTAGCTACAGCTATTCTTTCTATCTTCTTCTGTCGCGCAGCCGACCTTATATACATTATCTACTATATCTTGCATTTATCGTCGTATTCAGCATTTCTGTATTACCTTGGACAAAACATATAAATACCCTTCCTCAGTATATACAATAAGGGATCATCTTCGAAGTCATCTTTTACACTCTCTTTATTCTTGACACCTCTCTTTCTATTGGCTATGGAACTGACCCGCCAAAAGGATTTGACATGGGTCCATAGCTAATGATAAAGGATAGGAACAAAGGGCTGTCATATCTGTTGTATATTCTTCACAATATTTGAAAGTCCCTACACCTGTAAGCTATCATTTTACACCAGACCAAGTTTCTTCGGTAGATACTGAAAATGTATAGAGAGATATAACAGAAGAGATGGGAATAGAGAAAGATAAATGGGCTTTGAGGTAAATATATATAATAGAAAGGCTCAGTATTCAATTGTTCTTTATTTCAGGCCATCAATTGATGCCTTTTTATATCTGAAAAACATTGATAATCAAATATGACGAAATGTGATTAAGACAGAGTTAGGGGTCGGCACTATATGAACAAAGGCGAATGCACCAAGCAATATTCTAAGCCATTTTGCCTAGAAACACATTTTGATAAAAATGGCAATTTTGAGTTATCGCTGACAACAGTTGGATAACCACGAACTGGAGAGGACCATCAACAGCTCCGAGTATCAGATCAGCAATCAATGAATTGTGCCATATAATTTGTATCTAGCAACCAAGTATAACGCACATATTAACGTCGAGATCTGTGCTAGCAATAAGGCAATTAAGTATCTGTATAAGTACGTATACAAGGGAACCGACTGTGCAGAGGTGGCAATTGGCTCAAATCAAGGATCAGGAGCAAATGAGGAGCATCAAGAGGATGAAATACAATCCTACATAAACGTTCGATATGTTTCTGCCACTGAAAGCTGCTGGAGAATCTTTGAAAAAGATATGCAATCCCACACTCCTGTTGTTGTCCGTTTGGATATTCATCTTCCATCAGAGGAACTCGTATATTTCAACCCTGAGGATTAATTCTTATACAGAGATTTAATAACATTTCTATGAAACATACCACAAAATAATGAAACCTACTATATTTCATAAATTAAACATATACAAAGAAGAACTTTATTGTTTCATTTTAAGTATAATACATCAAATACCTTCCTCTCCTTATTTCTTCCAGTCTCGCCAACGGCGAAACAAAAAACGAAGTTTTTTCTATGAGCAAAGCGAATCCAAAAAGAATTTAATAAATATAAATATGTAAAATTGGTTCCCTACCAGAAACTTTTAACCCTGAAAGGGTAATTTTACACATATGCGAATGAAATGAGCTATATAAAAAAAACATTAATCTGTAATACAAATTTTATTTTTTAAGAAATTTATATTTTAAGGTACATGTCAGCTTAAAGGGCTTTTCTGAGCCTCAATTTTGAACCTTAATAGAAATTCCTTGACACGCGCGATTAACATGAGATACGTTGCAACCGACAGCTCTCGATGAGAGGAACAATCTGTATACTTTTTTTTCTCTCTACGACCTCTCGTTGCTGAGCCATTAACGTTTGAAATTTCCATTTTTAGCTGTATTTAGCTGGCAAACTGAACAAATTTGCAGAGAGCAGTTACACTATTTCGCTTCATTAAGACCTCGATTAGCAATCTCATTTAAAATTCTTTTCAATTCTACTCCACTATGCCAAGACCTAAAAGAAGATCTACTATTGGAAAACGTAATTATAAGAATTACAAGAGAAGAAAGGAAGAAGAAGAAGCATTAACTGCTGCTGGCAGCACTGCTACCTCGCCTGCTATGACAAGAGAAGAAATAACACGTACCTTGTCATATGAAAGCGACATTCCTTTGAGTGATGACGAGATTACTGACGAGGAAGAGCTTGGTGAAGTTGAACTTTCGAGCGACGATGAAGATAAGCATGTTGGCTTTTACAGCGAAGAAAAGGGCAAGGAAGCTGACTCAATTAGTGTTCCTCAGCAACAACGAACTGTCAACAACTTCCTTAAGTGGAATACAGATGCAAACAAGAAGAAAGGGCGCCCTTTCTTCTATGCGAAGACCGATCCACGCACCATCGAGGCGAACGAACAACAGCAAACAACCAAAGCCGCTGGTTCAATGCGCATAGAAGATTGCTTTGGCTTGCAACGAGTTCAGCAACGCGAGGCAAAGAAAACCAAGAAGCAAGAGAAGCAAGCGAACATGGAGAAAGCTGTTTTAGCACACGCTAAATATGCTGATCCATATAAGAAAACGCTAGAAGTGGACCAATTCGAAAGGAACCGGCTGAAAACGCTCCACACGTATTTCAGCAAAGTCTTAGCAGCAGCTGGTGCAAAAGGTGTAAAGGAAGAGATTAGCAACCAACTTAGCAAAGACAATTTTATACGTGGCGATCGATATGGTCAATGTTTCCGAGCATGGGCCAGCGAATACCTTCGGACTGGCACTCTCGCTCCTTCAAAGCGAGGAGCTTATACGAATAATGCTTCTGTGTTGAAGGATGAAGGCATTGCCTCTCAATGCAAGGATTACATTTGCTCTGTTAAACCAGAAAAGAGAACAGTTGCCGACATCCAAAAATTTATCCAAGAACGTTTGGTAGTTAACAAGGACCAGCCTCAAAAGCGTATAGGTGCCGAGGTTATTGAATCAACTGTTCGTCGCTACATGACTTTGTGAGGGTTTGAGCTCACAGACAAAACCAAAAGCATCTACTTTGATGGCCATGAACGTCCTGATGTCGTCAAATATTGCAAAGAATGGGCTGCAAGAATGATGGAGTATCGCAAGTGCATGCTAACCTACGACAAAAACGATGAACCGAACAGCATGCAGCTGCGCATATGGGTACATATAAGAAGGCACTGATTGATTGATTGAAATTGCAAAAGCTAACATTAGCAGTGCCACATCTTCTATATCAAACTAGGAATCGCAAATGGTCTTGGTCACGCATGATGAGACTTACTTCTACTGGAACGATAGTAAAAGAGCTTTGTATTTGGCTGCAGACGAATCCATTATCTGCAAGAAGGGTCAAGGTCGCGCCATTATGCTCAGTGCATTTGGATGTTCATGTCATGGCTTGTTTTCTTGCAAAACAATCATTCCTGGCGCACAGAATGAAGGTTATTGGAAGAAAGAG